AGGATGGAGGACAAGGAGTGAGAATGGAGAAGGATAAGGATGGAGGATATGGAGTAAGGATGGAGGGCAAGGAGTGAGGATGGAGGACATGGCACAAGGATGGAGGACAGGGAATCAGGATGGAGGACAAGGAAAGGATGGAGGACATGGAGTAAGGATGGAGGACAAAGAATAAGGATGAAGGACAGGGAATAAAGGTGGAGGGCAAGGAATAAGGATGGAGGATAAGGAGTGAGGATGGAGGCCAAGGATAAGGATGCAGGACAAGGAGTGAGGATGGAGGACATGGAGTAAGGACGGAGGCCGAGGATGAGGATGCAGGACGAGGGGTGAGGACGCGGGTCCAGCCGCGGCCAGCTGCTGCCAGGCGCTCTGCTGCTCCCCACCGCCCCCCGGCACGGCGAAGGCGGCTACCGGCGCCGCATCCCGCTCTCTATTGACACCTCTCCCTAATCTGAAGGAATTCAAGACAAATGGTTAAGGGGACGGAGTTAATAAAATTTGAAAAATTGAGGCCTGTCACTCCGCTAAACTTTTTTCGATACCACCGGCAGAAACATATTTCCCCAATGAGTGACCTTCCGCAGCTGCTGCTGCGTGGCGCGCGGGCGCTGGCGGTGAGGCGCCGCGCCATTCATCAAATATGATAAGCTGGGGCCTCCTCACGCGGGCAGGAGGTGCGGGAAGCACAGCCCGAGGTGCTGCCCAGGTGTTGGCTCCGTGACAGCGGCGGGAGGTGACGAATGGCCTCCCATTATGGCGGCGTGGGTGGTGGCGGGGCGGCGAGGTCAGGCGGCCGGAAAGGGGGGGTGACAGCGTTATTTATGGCGGCGGTGCTGGAGGTGGGGATCGACCGGTTGGGACGAGCCGGGTTCTATCAATTATTGCAGCAATTAGTCAAGTCGTCAAAGCCATTAACGGGGGGGGGTTAGGCCGATATGGGATGGACGGCCGTTATTGATAGCTCCAAGGGGTGGAGGACCAACCCTCGGCGTCGGGAAGGGAAAGCCCCGAGGATGGCATCCCCAGCCCTATGACATCCCTGACCCTATGGCATCCCCGACCCTATGGCATCCCCAGCCCTATGGCATCCCTGACCCCATGGCATCCCCAGCCCTATGGCATCCCTGACCCTATGGCATCCCCAGCCCTATGGCATCCCCAGCCCTATGGCATCCCCAGCCCTATGGCATCCCCAACCCTACAGAGCCCCCTCCTCGCTGCCTCCCCCCCGCAGGGCATCGAGCGCCGGCCCCGTGCTGCATCCCATCCCCTGTCGGCTCCCTCGTCTGCTGTGACAAGGCTGGAGCTGGAAATCACTCGGTGCCAAATGTTTGGGGAAGGCATTTTGCACCCTGTAGGCAGATGTGGGTTCCCAGTGCCAGCGCTCAGCTCCCTGCTCCCAGCTCACCCAGCCCAAGTGGCTGCTGTGCCCTCAGATGTGGCTCATTCCCAGGAGCCGGGGCTGCATCACTGGGCATCCCGTGGTGCCATATTGCTCTCTTTCCCATTCCCTTGGTGCCATATTCGTGTCCCTCCCATTCCCAGGTGCCATATTTGTGTCCCTCCTATTCCCATGGTGCCATATTCATGTCCCTCCTATTCCCATGGTGCCATATTTGTGTCCCTCCTATTGCCTTGGTGCCATATTTGTGTCCCTCCCATTCCCAGGTGCCATATTTGTGTCCCTCCTATTCCCATGATGCCATACTGTTGTCCATCTTATTCCCCTTGGTGCCACACTCGTGTCTCCCCTATTTCCCCACCTCTCTGCCTCCTGACCTTGTCCTGCCCAGCTCTTTGCACCGCTCCGCTGTTTCCCAGCACAGAACTGGGACCAGTTGGTTCTCAGCACGCAGGTTCTGCTCTCTGCCGGCCCCCTCGCAGCTCCCCACAGCAGTTCCGTCTCTGGGCTCGACTGGCTCCTCGTTCCCAATGTCACCCCAGAGAAGAGAGGGGTTTTCCCCTGCAGCCCCTGGGATTGTCCCTGCGTGCTCAGAGCGGAGGTCAGAACGGGAGAGCCGCGCAGGAGACGCGCTGCGCTGAGCCCCAGGGCTCCCTGACCTCCTCCCTTTCTCCCTGCCAACAGGCGCCAACCCCCTGCAGAAGAACGAGATGGGCCACACGCCGCTGGATTACGCCCGCGAGGGGGAGGTGATGAACCTCCTGAAGGCATCGGAGGCAAAGGTGAGCTGAGCTTCGCAGCGCTTCTTCCGCACGGGATCGGAAATCCCAGGGGACCCGGCTGAGGTAGGAGCTGCCGTTCTCCATCAGGGGGTGGGGAGCCCCGCTTTGCCCCCCAGCTTGGGGCTGGGAATGCTCCCTGCTGCCCTGGGAGCGAGAGCACGAGCGGCGCCGCCTTGCGCCACGTCAGGCTGCGCTCTGCAGCTTGGGGGTTTCAGTTTGCCTTTGGGAAACGTGAAGTGAAGAGGACTTGGAAGCTGGGGGCGATCGATGGTTGGCGAGGTGGCAGGGACTGCATTGAGAAGTGATTCGGCCAGGTGGCCAAATCTGCGCTCCCCCAGGATGGCAGAGAGGAGCTCAGAGCCACATCCGTGTCCTGAGCGTGGAACGTTGGCGTCCCGTGCTGGGTGGAAGGGGGGAAGCCGCAGAGCTGGGAGGCTGCAAAACCGAGCTCAAAATCCTTTGGATCTTTATGGGAGGAGGAGGAGGAGGAGGAGGAGGAGGAGGAGGAGGAATCGCTGCTGGGCAAATGGTCCCCAGGGCGCAGCGCTGACAAAACCTGCTCCAAAACAGCCCGAAAAGACGCCTCGGATTTTACGCTTTAACAAATAGACCAGGGAGAGAAAGGAGATATATTCCTGCTGCAGATGATGCTCGGTGTGTATAAAACATCAGGCAGCCCAGGCAGCTGTGATGAACGCAGCACCGGGGGGGACGCGGCGCTCCGGGGGTCGCAGCCGCCCCCAATTCCTGCGCTCCGCCGAGAGTCTTTGAGAATTTATTGCTCGTTTTAATCACTGCCACAGAATGAATTGGCAGAGCCGTTACCGAATGGGCACGGCCCATAGATTTTATTTACATATCCCGGTGACAGAATAACAAGGGAGTTTTCATATGTATTTTTAATTTATTTGGATCTCTCTCGCGCTCGTCGCGGCTTCCCTGCGCCCGGCTGGCGGTGGGAAGCCGTGAGCTGAGCAGAACGCTGAGCTCTGGAGGAGCAGCCCTTGGAGTCGCTGCCATCCTGCGTGCCACAGCGCGGGCCGCAGGGCTGCGTAGAGCCGCAGATCACAACCGTTTGAGTTGGAAGGGACCCCTAAAAGCCGCCTGGTCCACTGGTGGGACCCCCACAGCTCCACAAGGTGCTCAGAGCCCCTCTCCGTTCATCCTGTGCCTCGCCAGCCTTATCAGAAAGGCTTCCTCATATCCACTCTAAACCTGCCCTCTTGCTGTCTCAAACCATTTCCCCTCACCGTGTCACTCAGAGTCCCTCCCCATCTTTCTTATGGCCCCCTTTAGAACCAGGCCCCTTTTAGAACCAGGCGCCCTTTAGAACCAGGCCCCCTTTGGAACCAGGCCCCCTTTAGAACCAGGCCCCCTTTAGAACCAGGCCCCCTTTAGAACCAGGCCCCCTATAGAACCAGGCTCCCTTTAGAACCAGGCCCCCTTTAGAACCAGGCCCCCTATAGAACCAGGCTCCCTTTAGAACCAGGCCCCCTTTAGAACCAGGCCCCCTATAGAACCAGGCTCCCTTTAGAACCAGGCCCCCTTTAGAACCAGGCTCCCTTTAGAACCAGGCCCCCTTTGGAACCAGGCGCTCCCCTCCTTGCTCAACCCCTTCCTGCTCCCAACGCTTTCTCCCCTTTGCAGTTCCAAGAGGAGCAGCGTCGCCGGGAGGTGGAGGAGCGCCGCAGGTTCCCCCTGGAGCAGAGGCTGAAGGAGCACATCATCGGCCAGGAGAGTGCCATAGCCACGGTGGGGGCAGGTGAGGTCCCAGCCACGTTTGTCTTAGGAACGTTACTCACTCACAGCTCACTGATGGCTCTGTGTGGCAGTTTGTACATAAACGCCTCCCTCGTGGGGGGTTTCTCTGTGCTCCTCACCCACGTGGGGCTTTGTTCCATGGAGAAAATAGGAGCACATGTGGTTACGCTTCGCACGGAGCCAGAGATCCATAGGGGACCTCTGGAGATCCCCCAGTCCATCCCCCTGCTAAAGGAAGTTTCCTAGAGCAGGCTGCAGGATCCCCTCTCATCCTTCTCTCCCCCAGCTGCTCAGCCTTCAGCCTGTCCCCACCAGGAGCTGCTCCAGGCCCCCACCATCTCTGCACCCTCACCAGGCTCTCCCCAGCAGTTCCCTTTCTGCTTGGAGCTGGGGAGCCCAGCCCTGGGTGCAGTGTTTCAGATGGTGCCCCCCCAGGGCAGAGCAGAGGGAAGGAGCACCTCCCCATCCTGCTGCCCGCACTCTGTGCATCTCGGGTGGCCTTCTTGGCCCTCGTGGCACAACCTGTGGTCAACCTATGGTCAACTGTTGACCAACCAGGACACCATTGGCCTTCTTGGCCACCAAGGCACACTGCTGCCTCACGGCCAACCACTGATCAACCACTGATCGACCCTTGGTCCAAAATATTGCTCAGCTGTTGGTCAACTGTGGGTCAGCCATTAGTCAACCATTGGTCAACCATTAGTCAGCTCTTGGTCAACTGTTGCTCAACCATTGGCCAGCTGTTGCTCAACCATTGGCCAGCTGTTGCTCAACCATTGGCCAGCTGTTGGTCAGCTGTTGATCAAGTATTGGCCAACCATTGGTCAGCTGTTGGTCAAGTATTGGCCAATCATTGGTCAGCTGTTGGTCAAGTATTGGCGAATCATTGGTCAGCTGTTGGTCAACCACTGGCCAACCATTGGCCAGCTGTTGGTCAACCATTGGCCAACCATTGGCCAACCATTGGCCAACCATCGGCTAACCATTGGTGAACTGTTGGTCAACCATTGGCCAACCATTGGTGAACTGTTGGTCAACCATTGGCCAAGTATTGGTGAACTGTTGGTCAACCATTGGCCAGACATTGGTCAGCTTTTGCTCAACCATTGGCCAACCATTGGTCAGCTGTTGGTCAACCAAGACAGCCGGGTGCTTCTCCTATTGGTCAGCTCAGCCCTGCCCTGCTATGTGTGCTTACTCCTTGGCTGTGTGAGCGACATCAGATCAGTAGAGACCCTTAGCAGGCGGATTCAGAGGGGCACTGCCCAGCTCTTCTCCCTCAGCATCCAACAATTCGCATCCCTGGCTGGAAGCTGCAGCTCTGTGCAGAGCAGCATCAGGAGGTGAATACCTGCCCTACCTCCTCCCGTTGGTTCCAGCCTCCCTCGCACCTCCTGGCAGCGCGCAGCAGCGCCTTTCTCTGCAGGCGTTGTCGCTGTGCTCGGAATTCCGTGTTTTCCCCTGTTAAAAAAGAAATGAAGTCGTAAGGGAGCGGGGAGCCTGGCCTCTGGTGGCTGTGCTGGACGATACAGGCTTGCGGCGCGGCTGGGAGGGAGCGCTGACGTTCTGATGGAGCTGGGGGGGGGGGGGAAAAGAAAAAAAACCAGAGCAGCTTTTCGGGCCAGCAGTTCCTGCAGCCTCCCTGCACCCGAATGCAGGGCTTCAAAGCAGGCAGGGAGGGCCGAGGTCAGAACGGCAAGCAGGGCTCTGTCACGGATCCAGAACCCAGGCTGTGATGCTCACAAAGGGGGGTGCAGGGCCGGCTCAGAGCCCTGCGAAGCGCAGCAGACGCCCTCTGCTCCCACAGCGGCTGTGCCTGGGGGCAGCGGCGCGGGCTAATTGGGAAGCTTTGATTAATGGGCAGCGCCTGCTCCTGACACAGGTGGTGTTTGCGCGCATTAAAGCGGCCGCCTTTATGGAGGTTTCTCTTATTGAATTAGAGGGAACGCGCTCGATCCCCCCGCAGCCTCAGGACATCAGACCAAAAGGTAGAGGAAGAGGCTCCGACCTCCTCCTCCCCCCTCCTCCCTCCTGCCCCCAGTTTCTTTCAGGAAGGCTCAGTTTCCAGACGCGACTCTTTCTTCCCAGCGCTCGTGCTTCTCTCTGTTGCCACTGCTTTCTGCTGCCACGCCGTGGGCTCCCCGCCCCGCCGACGCGTTTCATTTCTAACAGCTCCCTAATTGAGGAATTGGATTTAATCCGCCGCGCTGCGCGATCCAAGCAGCTCCAGAGCAGCGCAAAGGGGACGGGAGCTGCGGGCGCTGTGTGCGCATGGGGAGCTCAGATGGCAGAGTGTGCCACAGCCCAGTGCCACCAAGGGGATCCCGGGGGGCAGGAAAGCCTCCTGCCATCCATGGGAGATGTGAGAGAGCCCAGCTCTGCGTTCTGCCCCACGGAAAGGGAGGAGATGGGGGCGGACAGATGGGGGGGAACGGGGCGGCTGCAAGGGAACTGCGTGCAGCACAGGGATGGAGGTGATGGAGGTGCAGCACCAGCAAACTGATAGGGGACATTGCACCTTGTGTGGTGACACACAGACACCTTCACCAAGCTGATAGGGGACATTGCACCTTGTGTGGTGACACACAGACACCTCCACCAAACTGATAGGGGACATTGCACCTTGTGTGGTGACACACAGACACCTTCACCAAGCTGATAGGGGACATTGCACCTTGTGTGGTGACACACAGACACCTTCACCAAGCTGATAGGGGACATTGCACCTTGTAATGTGACACACAGACACCTCCACCAAACTGATAGGGGACATTGCACCTTGTAATGTGACACGCAGATACCTTCACCAATCTGATAGGGGACATTTGAGGGACATTTTTGGTGGGCTGATGGCGATGGTGGTTGGTTGGACTTGATGAGATCTTAAAGATCCTTTCCAACCTTGGATTATTCTGCCATTCAGTTTCGTTTTCCAGCCCCTTTTGGATTGAAGCACTTTGTGGCAGGACTTCCTGTAGCTGAGTAAGGAGGGATTAAAGGAAAGGGCTGTGATGTTTTCATTTTAGTGGTTATGATTCTTGTAGACAATCTCCTTTTAAGTCTTAAAATGAGGAATTTCCATCCTGCTGGGCGGTTACAGTGCTGGAATCAGCTGCAGTGACAAAGCTGTTCGAAAAGGGACAAGCAGGAACGTCGCCCTGCCCTGACCTGAGGGAAGCTGTAATTCAGAGAGGTGGGATCCCCTGCAAGCGCTTCATTTTGGTGTTCACAGTCTGGGTTGTAGCAAGGAAGGCTGGTAGGGGTCCAAGTGCAGGTAGAACACTGGGACTGTGCCATCAGGTCAGGCAGGAGCAGGAAGGGGCTCATCCCCCATCCCAGGTCAGGGACATGAGCCCCTGGCACCCCGAGCCGGGCGGTCCGAGGAGCAGCACGGAATGAATTGATTTGATAAATGGACATTTATTACGCTCACAAATTGGCTGAAACCAATTTCGGTCACATCAACCCCTGATAACTGCTGGGGTATTGATTTGTGTAAAGTAATACAGTGAATTTATCAGTTCAATAGCAGGCTGAAGGGCCTCTCGGAGACGCAGCGCTACAGTTACGCCGTTACGGATGGACAAAATAAACTGGGAGCGCGGCGGCAGCGCTGGAAATGGCTCCGAAGAAGAAGACCCGGCTGCCATCGTTGGCCTCTTCGCGTGGACGTTGGGCCTGAATTCCATGGGGAAGCGTGGCCTGCCCCCCATGTCTGCCATCCCTGCAGCTCAGCTCGCCCAGAGCTTCGGCGCAGACCTACGGGGTGGCAGCGGAGAGGAGCCGGGGGGAGAACCCCAAGGGAAGGAGCGTTCCTGACGGCTTCCAGAACCCACAGGTTCTCAAGATCAGAAGCTCCTCATCCTTCAGACTGCTGTGCTTCGTCCCTAAACTTTCTTCCTCTTCCCAGCTCCGACCCTGCAGAGTTTGGAGGCGGAGAGCTGTGGGACGGCGGCCCTCTGCGTGCGTGGCCAGAATGGTTTTCCAAAGCTTAGGGCTGGGCCGTACGCTGACTTTAAGGCAGCTTATAGGAAAGCTTTTACGCCTCGTCGCTCTGTCCATGTACCCAACGCGCCCTGGGCAGCGGCAGTCAGCACCTTGCAGCCGCGACACGGCACTGAATCACAGGCAGTAACCTCGTGGCAGCCGTTATGCACGGTGTGTATCGGGAGGCAGCCGAGCTCGTATCCATAAAGCCTGATGTCCTGCTGAAAAAAAAGCACTGCGCTTCACCTCGCCGCCTCCGCGGCGCCGCGCGGGCTGACCCCTGCCACTGGTCACTCCGTGCCCCCGAGCAAAAGTTTATTACCTTTATTATCTCCGCTGAAATAGCTGCAGAAATTGTCGCTGTCCTCGTTATTCCCCATCCATTAAAAACGACGCCGACTGAGCGCGGGCGGGAGGCAGGGCTGCTCGGCGTGGAGATGCTCAGCGGTCGAGTCAATCCTCAGCCCTCCCGGCGTTCGTGCTGCTCTTGAGTGCCTTCCCTCTTCACCTCCTGCTGGCAGAGGCGACTTGTTGCTGTCCGTCCGTGGCTTTGTTGCGCGAGGATTCGCCCCGTGCGCCGATGCTGTTGCTGAGGTTGTGTTCTCGTAGGATGGAATCGTGGCATCGTTAGGGTTGGAACAGATCTCCGGCATCATCACAAGTTCCAACTCCATCCCACCCCACCGTGAGCCGTGCCCAAGGGGCGGTGGGGTCACCATCCCTGCAGGTGTTGAAGGAGCGTTTAGGTGTTGTGCTCAGGGCTCGTGGGAAGTGTTGGCGATGGGTGGACGGCCGGACTTGGAAATCTCAGAGGTCTTTCCCAGCCTTGGTGATTCCGTGTAGTCATTGAGGTCAGAAAACCCCTCTGAGATCCCCGAGTTGAACCCCGTCCCATCCCCAAAATGCTGACTGACCACAGCCCTCAGTGCCACCTGAGCACCTCCGTGGATGCTGACACCCCGGCTGTGCTGCTGCCCAACCACGCGCAGAGAAGCTGTTCCTCAAATCCAGCCTGCCCTGTCACCACGGTTGGATGGGATGCAATGAGGGGTCATCGAGTCCAGCTGCCATCCTCACCGAGCCCACTTGTAGAATCACAGAACCACAGGACTGGGAAGGTTGGAAATGACCTCCAACCGCCAACCCAGCACCACCGTGTCCACTAAAAGTCATGGAATCAGAGCTGTGAAGGTTGGAAGAGACCTCCAACTGCCAACTCAGCACCACCATCCCAATAAGAATCCTGGAATCAGAGCTGTGAAGGTTGGAAATCACCTCCAGTGTAACCCAACCGCCAACCCAGCACCGCCATCCCACTAAAAGTCATGGAATCAGAGCTGTGAAGGCTGGAAGAGACCTCCAGTGTAACTCAGCTGCCAACCCAGCACCACCATGCCCACTAATTTTCATGGAAACAGAGCTGTGATGGTTGGAAATGACCTACAGCTGCCAACCCAGCACCGCCATCCCAATAAGAATCCTGGAATCAGAGCTGTGAAGGTTGGAAATGACCAACCCAGAACCACCGTGTCCACTAAGAGTCATGGAATCAGAGCTGTGAAGGTTGGAAGAGACTTCCAGTGTAACTCAGCTGCCAACCCAGCACCGCCATGCCCACTAAAAGTCATGGAATCAGAGCTGTGAAGGTTGGAAATGACCTGCAGAGTAACCAACCGCCAACCCAGCACCGCCATGCCCGCTAAGGCAAAAGGCCGATGTTCTGAGCCGGTGCCCATTTCTCCCCCCGCGGCCCCATGCTGCCTGCTGGCGCTGCTCTGTTTGTTCCTCTTGGCTTAGAGCTCCCTTCCTCCTCTTCCACCTCTGTAGAGCAGCCTTTTGATTCAGTGCCTGATCAGATTGAGGGGGGTAAATCACATCTGGGCTGCTTGTAGGAACCCGGATGGGGTGAGAGGCGTCCCCAGCGCCGCAGACCAGAGCGGTGCAGCAGCAGGGCCGTGCTGTCGGAATTAGGGCAGGGGAGCAGATGTTTGGGCCTCCAAGCCCTCGTTCTGTTGTGACAGAAGTAGGCATTTCCCCTCGGTGCCTTAACCTTTGGCGTCACCCATGGAGACAAACCGCCTGCCTCAAGCCGGAGCTCCGCAGCCTTCCCTCCTTTCATATGCACGCGAGAAGTAATGCAAGAAGAAAACAGCGACCAACAAATCAACAACAACGAGAAAAGAAAAAAAGAAAAAGGCTTGTGCAGAGCTGCTTTATTCACAGGAAGGCTGGCTGAGCTCGGAGCTGGAAGCCCGGCTCACCCCCTGTCCCCCCTCCTCGCTGTCTCCCTGGCAACGCTGAGTGCACATCCTGGAAAAGTTTATCCGAAATCTGCTCTGGGCAGCTTTCCAAATCCATGCTAACCTGATTAGGTGTCTCTGGGGCCTTTGCTGGCTAATCAAATTAGGTAGCACTAATGGCAGGGAGGACTTTGAGTGGGCAGAGAGCAGTAAAACATAGTGTATACTTAGTGATAATTATACTTGCTTTTGTGTCATTGATTTATACGCCTTCTCCCCCCCCCCTCCGACTTTTGTTCCCGTGGCAGCTATTCGGAGGAAGGAGAACGGCTGGTACGACGAGGAGCACCCGCTGGTCTTCCTGTTCTTGGGATCATCTGGGATAGGTAACGTCAGCGGGATGCAGAGCTGCTCCGCACCGCAGCGTCACAAAGGTTGCAGCAGAGCTGAATCCAACCCCGTCATCGTGCGTCCCGCAGCTCCACATCCCTGCCCTTCTGGGACACCCCCAGGGTTCCCCCCCCAACTCCCTGGGCAGCCGTGCGGCGCGTGGCCACTCCTGGGGGAAGATATTCCCCCTCGTAGCCCCAACCCGAACCCAAACCCCAACGCCGTCCCAAGGAAGGGCTGCACGCCCCCTCCGCGTCCCCCAGGCGCCCATCCGCATCCCTCACTGCTCAGCCCAGCTCCAAAATGAGCATCTTCCCCTTGCAGGAGCACAGGCCGAGCAGAGCCCTGCTGTCCCACACGGATTCCTCGTGGCCGGGAGCTGTGGCTGCTCACAAACCCCGTCTCCTCCTGCTCACGCGGGCTCTGATGGCTTTGCGACAGCATCGTTGTGTTGATGCTGATAATATTTCTCCTCGAGCGGCGTGAAGCTGATTGGCTCATGAAACGGGCAGAACGGGTTTTAGCTGGGGGGGTGAAGGGGGAGAAGGAAAGGAATTAGAAATCATGAGATCTCAAGTAACCAAACGGTGGCATTCAAAGCAACACCAGTGCTTCGCCTCCCTGGGCAAGGGCAGGGGATAAGATGTGAACGAATACTGAGTCAAGATATGAATGGATATTGGAATAAAGTATGAATGGATGTTGAGATGAGATGTGAATGGATGTTGGAATAAAGTATGAATGGATATTGAAATGAGATGTGAGTGGATATTGAAATGAGATGTGAATGGATGTTGAAATGAGATGTGAATGGAT